TCAACAATTTCGACACCTCCCTCTACCCGCTCGCCAGCTACCCTACTGCCGCAAATCCCAGCAGCTCCATCATCACCCAACTCCCTACCTGCCGACCCCCGCACGACCCGAATTTCCTCCCTCACCGAGTCAATCCCCGTAGTTTCACCACTACACGACCCACAACCACAATCCCATCAACCCCACTCCATATCCTGCAAAAAAATCTCACACCATCATGGTGGAGAACCAAACCACACACACACACACACACACACACACAGATATATATATATATATATATATATATATATATATATATATATATATATATATATATATATATATATATATACGAACGACAGATAAAAAGGGGGAGGGGGAAAGGAAAATTGGATCCAAAAATCAGTTCAAAATATTGGAAAGAAATCAAACAAAAAAAAAAAAAGGAAAACCGAAACCGAAAAAAAAAGAAGAAACGAGAAAAGGAAAGAGAATTTTACCCCAATTTTTGCTGGAGCAAGCAGTGACCCGCAGAGGTTTTTCTTCATCTTCAATCCGTATTCTCCTCTAGGTAAGCCACCCCTAATTCATCCCAATGTAAACCTATTTTTTCGTAGAATTGATGGCAGTGATGTTCATCATCGCCATCCCCGAATTTCCCCTCAATCGGACTCATATATGTTTTGCTTTTTCACTCAATTAGAAGATGAATTGGATTCAAAACCGGATGCTTTTGGGTTTTGAATTTGAAAATTGAATTGGATTTTTGGGAATTTCAAGGTTCTTAACAATTTCAGCTTCGAATTTGGGGTTTTTGTTGATTAGTTTGAAATTGAGGTTAAGGAATTGAAAGGAAGGTTAATTAAAGTTGGGCGGGGTTTCAATTTAGGGTTTAAGTCTCAATTGGAGACTAATTTAAGATAAAAAAAAATTTAGGGTTCCCGAGCTTTCAAACTAATAAAATTGGGGGTTTTCAAGAAATGGGTTCCTAATAAGTGGGATTGGGTTCGATTTAAAGAGAAATTAATCCAATTAAAGCCAATCGCATGAAAATTTAAAGAATTGAAAGTTAGGGTTCGGTCGAATTGGGGAGAATTTTGTGAAATTGATTTGGGGGTTTTTTGTTTAAGCAAGGAAAAGAAGGAAAGAAAGGGGAAAAGAAAGAAGGAAAAGGGGAAATCAAGCTACCATGGACAAACCTCCATTGGTTCGTCCATGGCGACAGCAGACGTTTTATAAAAAAAAAAAGAGAGAGAGAGACGGGAAAGGGATAGAAGAGAGAAAGGGAAAGAAAGGGAAGGAGAAGGGAAGAGAAGGGACGAACCTCCACTGGTTCGTCCATGGAGGCTAGAGCCAGCGGAGAAGAAGAGAGGGAAGAGAAGAAAAAGAAAGAAAAAAAGGAAAGAGGGAAAGACGGGATCGAATAAAAAAGAGGGGTTTTTTTAGTTTTGATCCGAAATGAAAGAAGAAAAAAAGGGGGAGTGTTTGTGGGTTTGGTCTTTTTTTTTGGGTTGGGTTGGGCTTAGCCCAACCCATTTCCACTGGTCGGATCGAATCGATCCGGCCGTTTTTTCTTTTGGGTCGGATTGATTCCAGCTCAGCTCGAATGAAATTTCTTTTCCTTTTCGAGTCGGACGACTTAGCCTAAACCCAAAAAAGAAAAAAAGAAAAAAGAGTGAATTTTTTTTATAGGGATTTTGTTATTTCGTATTAAAATTAGCCATTTAATTATTTTTTTATTATTTTAATTAATGTAATTTTTAATCTAGAATTTATTTTATGCATGCTCGTTACTAATTTAAATTTCGGTATTTGATTTCTTTTAATTCATGTAGCTTTAATTTATTTGTTTAGTAATTAGGTTCGGTAAGTAATAAGTAGAAGATCGTCGAGCCTCCTAAATTTTTAGGGACCGATGACAATCTTTCATGTAAAAAAAATAATAAAAAAAAATAAAATAAAATAAAATAATAGTTTTTATGTATGTTAGTTAGAATTTGTCATTTTAATATTTTGTAATTGTTTGAATTTACCTTTGAATTTATTTTATGCATACCTATTATTAATTTAAATGTCAATATTTGATTTTTTTTATTTAATTCGTGTAGCTTTAATTTATTTGTTTAGAATTAGGCTCAATAAGTAATAAGTAGAAGATCATCAAGTCTCTTAAATTTTTAGGGATCGATGATAATCTTTCACTAAAAAAATAAAATAATAAATAAAATAAAATAATAATAAATAAAATAATAACGATAAAAATAAAAATGAAAATAAAAAATAGTATTTATGCAAGAAAAATTAATAAAAAATAAAAAAATAAAAAAAATAAAGAGAGAAAAATAACAAAAAATAAAAAAATCATAAAACTTTTTAACAAAGTCTCCTATCTAATAGGGATCGTTGTTAGCCAAAAAGTTTTTTCTAATAAACAAGTGTTCTCCGACACACCGGTTGTGTCGAGACTCAAAAAAGGTGGATTCGATGTTTGAACCGACGTGTCTCCCGATGGAAGGGGTCCGACGATCGTTTCAATACGATGCCACGCTCAAAAAAAAAAAAAAAAAAACTTAATTTGACTTGAAAATTGGAATCTCAAAAATTGAAAAATAATTTGGCAAAAATAAAATACTTTAGGAGATAATTTAGGACTAAGCTACACGTGGTAACTTTCTTAGGAAAGGGAACTTTTGGGCGATTAATTATCTTCCTATAAGCGTAACCGACTCCTTACCATAGAATCTTTGAACCGATGCCAATTTTAGGTTCCTAGTTCCTTCAATACTAGGTGGCGACTCCAAACTCTGCAAATAGTTTTATAAATAAAATAAGAATGCGAAACTAGTGATACTATCGATTTTTTTTAATGGGAGTCCCGTCCGACGTCGGGTAGCGACGAGAGTCTCCAAAGATCCGATCGGATCTCCTTTCTTCACCGGTGATGAATCCGATCTCCTTTCGGGATTCCAAGCATACCGATCGACTCGTGAGGTTGAGAGAAGGATTTCTATGGTAGTTAGGACCTCCAATTCTTTCTAGATCGGTCAATTTTTTTGGGTTTTTCAAAACGAGTCGAGTCATATTAAATCATTTTTCGATGTCTTTGGGTTGAGATTTTTGAATGAGAACACTTAGGGAGATGGACGATTAGATCTATGCCGGTAAATCTCGTTTTGGTGACCGGAGTTGAGAGAAACTATCGGGTCTTTTGCGGGTCGGGTCACGAATGTTTGATCTTTGATTTCTCTCTCCTCCATGATTGGTTCTCTCTCTAACCGGTGTTTATGGACTGATCTAATGATGGGTTACACATTGGTGTGGTGGTTGGGGTTAAAATCGATCGGAAAATGGTCGGATTGAGAGTGAAACGTTCGGTTGGGTAAATGGGTTGGTGAGCGGGTTAGGACGTGTTTGGCTATTTTCAATTAGGTTTTCGGTAATTTTTCTTTGTGTTTTTTTTTTGGCTCTCCGGCTACGTTTTTTTTTTTTTTTTGTCCCCCTTTGCAAATTTGAATCCGAAAGCTTTTTATAGGCCAAAACCTCCTAAAATTTCTCCCAAAATCAATTTAAATTCAAATTTTAATTGTCAAAGCTTAATTTTGAGATTTGATGAGCTAAAAATAACAAGATTCCAATTCAAAAAGATTTATGGAAGATTTCAACGATTTTTGAATAATTTTAGGGAGATTTAATATTTTTTATATTTTTTTCCTTTTTTTGTTTTTTTTTTTGTTTTTTTTTTTTTAGGAACCCAAAATTCGGTTATGACAAGGATTAGAAAAGAGAAGTCAATGTACGGACAGAGAGAGAGAAAGAGAAGGAAAAAGAAGAATCAAGAAATAGGTAGAAAAACACTTTTTAGGGAAAAAAAACAAAAAGGTAAAAAGAAAGTGAGAGAGAAAAAAAGGAAGAGGATAGCAAGAGAATAATCTGTTAAAGAATAATATAAATCATATTTTAAGGTTTCATTTAACAATTTAAATTTTTAGGTTGAAATAATCTTTTGATAAGGTATCAAAATTTGAATCCTACTGTCTCTACTTTATCTTCTAATTAAGTTAACACAAAGCAATATGAGCTTGTGTAAGTTTCAAGCCTAAAGGTCAAGAGTTCAAATAATGTGGGCTTGTACAAGTTTCAAACCTAAAAGACTTTTACTTTAAAGGATGTGTTAAAGAATAATATAAATTATATCTTTAATTTTCTAATTAATTAAGTACGGGATAATGTGAGCCTCGTACAAGTTTCAAGCCCAAAGGTTAAGAGTTTGAATAATATGAGTCCGTGCAAGTTCAAATAATATAAATCATATTTTGGAGCCTCATGTAACAGACTTAAAATTCTAAGTTGAAATGATCCTTTGACATAATCATAAATTTCTATTAAAAAATCAATTTTAATATTCTTTTGTTCATATTCTTTAATATACATCTTTATTAATTATTTTTTATAATTAAAATTAATGGTATCAAGTGTAGCACATGATCATTAGTTTCAATATGAATGGATGAAACTATTCTTTTTAAGTCAATAGAATTCAAGCAAATCTATGCTTGTTAAAAGATTTGAATTTGGATTAAGATTGATTACATTTATATTAAAATTATAACCTATAGTGCTTGTGAACATTATTTTTTTCTTTTATTTAAAGAGTATTTTTCTCGATTCAAATTGAAACTATCACGTGTTGTTGTGTTTTTGTGTGAGTGATGGTTAATCTTACTAAAAATAATTGATAAATGGGTATGTTAAAAACTATGAACAAATTATAAGTTACCATTGATTTATTTATATATATATTTTGGTTTTTTTATTACTATCATCTTTCTTTTCTCTCTATGATAGTTATATATAAATGAATTATTATAATGACAATAATACAGTAAACTCTTTAGCATTAAAAATATGTTAAATGACACCTTTTTATGTAATAATCTCGAGAAAGCCTTTGTTGTCTTCAGATGTGTCCCCCTGTTAAAGCTCTAAAGCAGCTTTCCATATTAATTTTTAGGATCTAATCAGACATCCAAATTATGAGAATTTCGATTTTTTGCCTTTAACTTTCTTTCTTTACCCTTCCCTGTATCCTTTTGGAGCTTCTGTTTGTCATTCTTATCCCAGTACTTTTCTTCCAGTTGCTCCTCGTGAGATTGAGATGCAGAAGCAAAACCATCAAGATCATTATTAGATCTAGAAGTAGAATTGGACGCTTCCGGGCCAGTATTAGATGTAGAAGCAGAACCCTCAGCTGGTCCCTCCTGAACTATGGCCTCATGAATTCGCAGACCACCCTTCCATTCGTTAGTCCACACTTCATACAAGCCAAAATAGAGCTTTGTCTCAGTGCTTGCAGTTTTATCATCACTTTTAAACTTAATCTCAAACTTCTCCAAAGGAAATACTTTTTCGTCCTTGCCTAACAGTGAAAGATCTACTTTTACGCATTCATACTGTCCCTCCTCTCCTATCTTTGCCATCACATAAACAGGATCTTTCCAGCCAAAGGCGTTCTCTTCATTCATGGATAACTTGAAGCTAATTTCATACTTATTCCCTTTGGTTGCAGTCATTGAACCAGTTACATCAAGCCAACACGCCTCTAGTAGCTCTGCAGAACTATCCCTACATTTTGCAAAGAGCAAATAGATTCATATAGACATAACCAAAATAGTTTCTACAAAAGCTATAGCACCATTATTCAGAATCTGCTGATGCACAACAGGGTTGTGCTACAGTTCCATCATGAAGGTAAACCAATTTGTCTCTAGTTTAAGATACTCACCCCAAGGTCGTACTCATACATGATACAATCTTAACCGAAAAAAAAAAAAAAAAAAAAAAAAAAAAAAACAATCCTGCAAAGTTAACACCTTCACCATCTAGTGATTTCTAAACCTTTGTCATAACCCAAATTTTGGGTTGTATAGTTTCCTCCAATTTTTATCCCTTTTAGGTTTTTATTTTGTATTTTATTTTTATTATTTTTCTACTCTTTTTTATTTATCCTCCGTTTATTATTTCATTTTTCACTTTTTATTTATTTATTTTTGTAATTACTACAAAAAAAAGGAGAAAAGAAATAAAAAATGTAAAAATACAAAATTAAGAGATATGTTTAATCAGGGACATAATTGCATTAAATCAACTTGAAATTAGAAGCTAATCGGGGTTAAATTGAATAAAATTAGCGTGAATTAAGGGCATAATTCAAAGGAACCAGAGAACATGATTGAACATCTTTTGAAAGTTGAGGGACTGATTTGACAAATTGCTAAAAATCTAAATTTGAGACAGCGAACGTTCGTTCACTGTCTCTTTCATTTCAAAACTAGAATGGTTTTGATTTCTCCTGGTTTTCCAACATATTTGATCCCTAGCTAGCTCACTAGTCCCTCTCATTTGCTTGATCCGCAAATCGTGCTGCAACAAGAACAAAGGGTGAAGACGTTAGGGAAAAAAATACAAAAATGGAGGAGCATAAGGTTTTGATCAAACGGTTTGAAATATAGGAAACAAATGGAGAATTGGATTTGTTAGCAGGAAAATGGGTATAAATAAGAGAGGATTTTGGAGGTTTAGGGAGGGAAGGATCGAAGAAGAAAAGAGAAAAAAGAAAAGAAAAGAGGGAGAGAGAGAAGTGTGGAGGATTGAATTTTTGGGTTTTTTTTGGAAGAAGATGTTTCTAGGTTTTGGAGAAAGAAAGACATTCCGGATTTAAGAGGAAACAATTCTAGGTTATTGAGGGTAGAATTGAGACTCCCAAATACATTACTTTGATAATCCAAACCTTTCCAGAACACTAAAACAGAGAGATCGAGAGAAGAAAAATATAGAGATCTAGGTTTTCCTTCAAGTTTTCTAGGTTTCTTGGATTTCTAGATTCTTCCTTCAAGTTTTCTGGATTTCAAAAGCATCAGCAATCCTTCTCTTCAAGTGGCTGTTCAATACATGATATTTCCACCTCTAATCTAGTGTGTTTTCTAAACCTTTCTCAAGCTACAAAAACCAACAACAATTTGTCAACCATTCACCCACATTTTCTAGTCGGCTTGAAGGGTATCACAACTCAAGCCTGGGCATTCAACGCCAATAGTAGGCCTCCTAGTTTGCAACAAACCCTCTAGAAACCCTACAATCATCAATCAAACCTGCAAACAACCTTCGTCCCTTTCAGGCAACCCAGTTCAATTTTAGTTTCAATTTCAATTCATTTTAGAATTGTCATTCATTTCCTTGTTAGTTGAGTTTGGAATTTTAGTTCATCAACAAGGTTAAGATTAGAAAAAAGCCAGTTGATTTCTATAATGTACCTTGGCCCAAGTTTGGTGTTTCTGTTCTATGTTCTACGAGAGAAACAACGAGAGGAAAAAGAGAGACTAGGCCAGAGAAGGGGACAAAAAGAATAGGGTTAGCCCAATCCAAAAAAAAAAAAAAATGAGACAGACAAAATAGGACTGGATTGGGCTTAGTCGAGTCCAAAAAATAAAAAAATAAAAAAGAGGAAGAAGGGAAAATGGGCTAGGTCTAGCCCTGCTTGAGAAAAGAAAATAGGAATGAAAGAGTCCTTGTGGGCTCAACCCAACCCACTAGACTCATCTGAGTGGCCTTAGTCTAATAGGTCGGATTAGTAGACCTGGCCCAATGGGTCAAAGGCCCACTAGACCCAAAGGGCTCAACACCCCTAATTTAGCTTCTTCTTTTTTTAATTAAGTCAGCCCTGATTTTGTTTACCTATTATTCCATGCCTAATTTATATTCAATATTTTGAATTGCTAATTTTTTATTTACTTGGTCGAAAATGTTTAATTTTAGGTTTTATTTCAATAATTAGATTAGATAATTAATAGGTAAATGAGTCATCAAATCTTCTAATTTTTAAGGACTTATGACGATTGATCACCAACAAAAAAAAAAAGATAAAATAATGATAAAAAAGGAGAGAAATTGTTAGATAAAAACCCAAAAAAGAACAAAAGAAAAATATAGAAAATACTAGGTGAAAATTAACAAATTCTCATATCCAATAGTGACTCATATTAATCCACATCGATCATATCTTAGTAATTAGATAGTTCTCTCGATATACCGATTATGTCGAGACTTAAACTCGATCCGATGTTAAGATGACAAGACATCCAACGAAGGATCCGACGATTGGTTCAATATAATGCCACAAACAAAAATAAATAAATTAATTTGGTGTAGGAAATAGAACTTGAAATTTTGACTTAGGACCAATCTTGGTAAAAAAGAGAAATTTTTAGACAATAAAATTTAGAACCGAACTTGATGTGGTACATTTTCTAGAAAAAATATGCTTTTAGATGATTGATATCTTTGTAAAAACATAATTAACTTCTTATCCAAAAATCTTTGAATTAGTGTCTATTTTAGATTCTTAATTATCTTCAATAATAGATAATGATTTCAAAATTATTAATAACTCACATTTTCAAATAAATAAAATTTTCGACGATAACAAATCTTAAATAAATTTTGAGAGTTCTGCGAATATTTGGTAGCGACAACCTTAACTTTCTAGATCTAAGAATGAAACAATTTGGCCTTTTTTTTATTTTTTATTTTTCTATTTAATGTTGAAAAAAATAGTTTTAATGACTGAAGTGATATTAGGAAAGTTATGTAGATTATTGGATGTTTTGATACAAAATTTCGTGCCAAGAGAGTATACACAGTTGCCAGAGATCGACTAGTGCAGGTGGAACCTTTCCTGTGATGAGTCATTCAAAGCTAGAAAGTGGTGTACTTGGGTTTAGCTGTAATATACATAGTTCTAAATAAAGAACTTTATATAAATTTTTATATATATAACTTAATGACCATTATCTAATAGATTTAAATATTTTTGTTACCGTTATAAATTTTACAAGTATAATAACGATGTTATATATTATATATTATTATTATTATATAATGCTATTATTTGATGAATAAAAACTAATATATATATATATATATATTTGCACTACAACAACAACACCAATCCTGACTATACAAATAAGGAAAACCCTTCCTAAGAATTACTATGAAGTTTTACACAAATAATAGCATTATACATTATTATTATTATTATTATTATTATATAACATCGCTATTTGGTGAGTAATACTATATATATATATATATATATATATATATATTTGCACTACAACAACACCAATAATGGCTATGCAAATAAGGAAAACCCTTCCTAAGAATCATTATGAAGTTTTACACAAATAATAGCATTATACATCATCATTATTATTATTATATAACGTTACTATTTAGTGAGTAATATTAATTTATTTTATTTTATTATTATTTGTGTGGTCTTAAATTATTGAAAGTATTATTAATTTTATATTTATAATAAATTTAATTATTGTTATATGATATTAAACTATTAAATATGTTATTATTATACTTAATTAGTAAAATTGTTAAAAATAGATAAATTGGAACAATTTATTAATAATGCTAATGCATTTATGACATCAATAATTATAATTATTGTTTTACTATCACGATAAGGTACGATCCTTAATCCAAATAAGAACTATTTTTACAACCACATTTTGAATATAAAACTATAATAATATAAGCTTTCAACCAATTGACACCTTATCCAAAACTTCAAAGAAATAACTAATTAACCACATAGGAATTATATTTGTGTTATATATATTGCATTTGTTGTTTCATGATAAAATGTATAGTTACCAATCGGTATAAAAGTGTGTGGCCCAAATATAATAAATATGATTTTCAAAATCCTATGTAAAAACATAGGGTAAATTAAAATAAATTCAGATAAAATATTATAAAATTACAATAACATATAACCTAAAAATTAGATGATATTACAAAACCTCCTTTTGTATTCAAAATATTCTGAATGTTAAAGGGAAATAGTGCAAAGATATTAAACATAAACATTAGGATAATTTGTTAAATTAAACTTTTAAATGATTCATATAACTTTATAATATTTCAGAGAGAATTTTATAATTTATCCTAAAACATAAACACCATATCTATCATGCGGATTTGAGTATTAAATTAAATAGTTTGTTTAGCTAATTTTCATCGAGAAAGATTGTCTATTTAATTCAAATGTCAATTTATTTATTTATTTTTTGTAATGAAGAGTATTGTACAATTTTTGTGAATAGAGTTGTGTTAGTGAAATTGGCATAACAAGTTAGCTAAATTTTGTGCGCTTTCCTCTATTTGTGTTTCCATGGATTTTTCACAACATGTTATTAATTTAATTATGTAGTAAAATAACTTAATGAAGATATTGATAAAATTGGGAATCAACCAATTTTGATTTAGACAAATCTCTTGTGTGATTTAGATCCTTCCAAGTTTTGTATACTTGTTAATTATATTTATTTTTTATAATTAATACAAACTAAAACATTCAAAATTTTTATTGTCAGTTAATATTTCTAATTTTATTTTTATTAACAAAATATTAATTGTATCCTAACAATAGATAGATCAACATGCACACTAAAATTTGTAACATAACAACATATCCTCACCCTTCAGATATTATCCAAGACTGACTTTCTTCCTCCAAACCAATGCTAAGACCCTTTGGTTTAAACGTTGTTTTACGACCATCAGCACCCTATAACACATGTCACGCAACAAAAAAGTTTCCAAATTGTTAGCATTAAATCATTGCATTTGACTCCTGATCTTTACGAACTGATTATCTTAATTATCATAGAAGTTAATAGTATTCTGACCTGCGAGGTGGTGACTATACCCGTCTTTGACTCATTAGGATTTTCATTTTCTAGAGGTGATTGTTGAGAGTTGCTAGTTGCCTCATTCCTGATAATTCCGGAAAGAGTATCATAATAGGTAATATTAATTTTCACATAACATCTTAATTCAGCACACAATCAATGACAGTAAAATCAATAACTACTTATAATTCAGTTGACATTAATATTCTTTCCCTTCTCAAAAGTTATTAGATTACTATTTGATAATTAATACATGCTATATTATTAAAACTAATATTAATAATTGATTAATAAACGGTGTTGAACCTACTTCAAACAAGCATGCACATACATAGAAACTCCAACAAGAAAAAAGGAAAAAAGAAAAAGAAAAAAGGCATATCCTCACCTTGTAGATTTTTTCTTGAAGGGATTTTCAAACTTAGGGAAGAAGCCGGTAGACGATGTTCTTGTGATACCACCGCCCTTCCAAACATGCCAAAGAAGAAAATTTACAAATTGTCATCGTTAAAACATTTCATTTGCTCCCCTCATCATTACAAACTCATAATCTCAATTACCGTAGCAGTATTCTGACCTGTGAAACCTCCTTGACTCTATCAGCTTCTGGCTCCAGGTTTTTATCATCGGAAGGCCATCCTTGAGTGCCTTCGGAAGCCCTTTCGCTATTATTTATGGCAAAGAAGAACATGATTTGGATGCGAAAGAGTTTTCAAGGAGCAATGTGGTACAAGTTCGATACATGACAATGATGGAAGCTAGCTTTGTTGATTGGGAGTATTTATTTCCACAAACCAATATTCTAAATCAATCTATGTATACTCCCTATAATTCACCTCAAGAAAATTTTATATATTAGCTAATTATATTGATTTTTGATAATTAATAGAAGAAATTTTAGAATTAATATTCAAAATTTCGATTGTCAGTTAATATTTCTAATTTTATTTTTATTAACAAAATATTTTTAGCATAACAGCATTACTCTTCAAGGAGAAAAAAACATATATCCTCACCTTTCAGAAATTTTCCCAGAGGGACTTTCTTCCTCAATAAGAGTGCCAAGAACCTTTGGTTTTAACGTTGTTTCACCATCAGCATCCTACAAAACATGTCCAGCAATAAAGTTTCCCAATTGTCAGCATTAAATAATTTTATTTGACCTCTCGTCGCAACGAACTGATCATCTTAATTACCATAGAAATAGTATTCTGACCTGCGAGGAGGTGACTTTAACCGTCTTCGACTCATCAGGAATTTCATTTTTCGGAGATGATTGTCGAGAGTCGCTACAGTCGCTGTTAATTTCGAAAATAATAAGTTGTAGCTCCATTGGTATTAATATCTTTTATTTTCTCAAAATACTGGAGTTCGAACCTTTCTTTTATAACTAAAAAATAATGAACTTTCAACTTAAATATATAAGGTTTGAAACGGAAAATTAATTGCTCCATCTTGTACCCTAGCCTCCATAGGCTTGTATTTAAGAAAAACTGTTAAACTAAATGATAAAGTATAAGCAAAATTTTTATACGTACAAAATTTTGCATACATACACAAGTGAAAATTATTTCTTTTATGGAAGATGATATCAACCATTGATCAATTGTACGACTCACATTCTATCACTAATCAATTGAAAAAATAATATATCTATATCAATTGAAAAAATAATATATATATTTTCAATTGATATATATATATATAAAACTCATTTTCCAAATAAGAAAAAGAAATTAATGTTTTGAACGAAGGGTGATGTTATTTCCACTCCTTACGTTAACATATATAGTGACAAAATGAACCCTCTTTCATACTTTTTATAGGGATCTTAATATTTTTCTAAATTTTCTTAGCGTCAAATAATGAAAGGAACTCTAAATTTAATATAGACTATTGAAAAATAAATTAAAATTTAAAAATATGTGCATTTTTTTGAATAATTGATCTCTTAGGTTTTATATTTATTTTAATGTAAATAGTCTTCACAGGACTAATTATTTTTAAGGGGGAAGTATTTGTGAAATAGTTATACCAGACTAATTAAATTTTGTGTGCTTTTCACGCATAATTATTGTGTTTGCATGAATTTTCACAACACAATATTGTTTAATTTTGTAGAAAAAAACATATAATGAGGTACAGGAATAAATTTTATATCTTTTATTATATTAATATTTGATAATCAGTACATTATATAATATTAAAATAATGATTGTAGCTTAATAATTTACTGTTTGTGATTTTATTTATATGAACACAAAATCTGTAAAATCACAATAGATCAACGTCCTTTTTCATTCTATCCCCTGAATCATAAATTTTCGCATTACCCTTGTATGGCTTCCCTTTCGACATAAAATAGAACACTGGACCTTATGCCCCTTTCTATGCACAGATCATATACCAAAAATAAACTGACTAATAAGCGGTGTTGAAACTACTGCAAACAAGCATGCAAATAGAAACTTCGAGAAAGAAAAAATATAATATAATTAAAGGCGGATCCTCACCCTGTATGTTCTTTCCACCATTCCTTCAGTTTCGTAAGGGAGAAGCTGGACGGCGGTGGTTTTCTGTCATCAGCGCCCTTTAAGACATGCCAAACAAGAAAGTTTCCAAATTCTCATCATTAAAACATTTGATTTGCTCCCCTCATCATTACAAACTCATAATCTGAATTACGTAGCAATAATAGTATTCTGACCTGTGAAGCCGCCTTGACTGTATCTGGAGGCAATCCTTGAGAGCCTTTGGAAGCCCTTTTGCTATTATTTCTGGGAGAAGAGGACATGATTCGGATAGAAGAGTTTTGAAGGAACTATGCAGTACAAGTTCGATACTAGACAATGATGGAAGCCAGCCTTGCTGTTTGGGAGTATCTATTTCCACAAACCAAGATTCTAAATCAATCCATGTATAGTCTCTACTCTCTAGAATTCACCTCACTATTTTAAAATTTCTCTTAGCATCTCTCTTCCAGTAAAAAAAAATATTGTAATTCTCGTCTTTTTAATGCGTAAATAGTTCAATATATTCTTACATAATGTTCTGAGTTTCTTTGCTATTCCTAAAATTTTAATTAGATTTTATTCATTTGTATAGAGTTATATAGTTAAAATTAGATTTCATCCAAAAAAACTTAAACTTAAGTTGGTAGCCCCTTTTTAACTTTATATATTAATTATCTTTGATTTAACTATTCAATGTAGAATATGAGCTCTAATATTCTCTTTACTTGCAGTCTATCTTTTGAAGTCCGTCAAATAACTTAGATTCTAAGATATTTGTTAGGCCGTTAAGCCTTTTGAGGCTCGATATTATATAGAATTCGATAGTTGAGATTGGGTTTTATCCAAAAAACTTAAGCCTTGTGATAGATGATTTCTTTTCAACCTTATATATTAATCATTTTTTGTTTAACTATTCAATGTAACATAGCTCTAACAATCCGTAAAAATTATTTAAATGTTCAATCTATCATTCGAATCAATTTTTTTGCCAATAGGCAAATTTTTTTACCAAAACACTCCTAATTGAAATGTGAAAAAAAATAAATAAAAATTCTAAAGACTTTATAAAGAAAACATGCACGTCGTATGACTTTAAGTGTTTTTTTTTTTGAATTTCAATAAAAGGTATTTTGGTCAAAAAAATTATCTATAGCAGGAAAAATTGATTGAAAGAACAAATTTAATATTTAAAAAAAAATAGAAACGAGATGATATGCAATTAAAATTTTCAAGACAAATGGAAGCCTAAAGTATTAAATATTGGATCAAGATTAAAAATAACATGATGAGCTCTATGGACATATTTGCAAGCATCAACTCCATGAATTTTCTCATAATAATACTCCACTAAATCCAGCTTAAATCTTGGATCAAGAATCACAACAATAGTAAATGCCTAGCCACATTCCTTCTAATATTTTATGAACTTTTCTTTCAATCAATTGCTTTCTCTATAATTTCACCCTAATTTCAATAAATTGGTTTTTTCTTCTAGTCTTTTTCTTGTGATTTTTTTTTATTTTTTTATTATTTTTATTTTTATTTTTATTTTTTGCAAAAATAAGATGATGACAAATATAATAATACCAATTCTTGAAAAGGTTTATATATCAATTCATAATATTTTTTTAAAAAAAGTTGAATTAAGAAAATGACAAGAAACTTACCTATGATTTTTTTTTTTTTAAATAGAGGAGGATATGTGTTATTTAGACTTTATCCATAAATTTCTTTCAATCTGTTCTCATATTTATATATTTTTCTTATATTTAAATTTTCAAAAAATTTTATTTACTAAAAATAATGTAATTTTAAATTTTAAATTGGATTCAAAGATATTCGAATTTGATTTGTTTAATAAATGAGTTAATGAATGCAGATTATAATTAGACTTGGATATAAAAAAAATACTTATCAAACTCATTTAATTAAATCATATTCGGATCAAAATTTGAGTCAAGATCCAATCTATTAATAACCTTATTCGAGAGCATATAAGGTCTTTGACCATTCCATCCCCTACAACAATTTCCATTACATGCAAACCCTTCTACCAAAGTAGACCAACTCAACACTTGGCTAAAGAGGAAATGGCTAGACACATACACAACAAAGACCAAATAGTCTCCGCCAAAGTAGATCACCTCCAAGTTGGATAAAACTTAACAAAGATAGAGCTTTGCGTAATTTAGTTGGTATTTTTACAACTTGAGACATTCTTAGAGATGAAACAAGTATTTGGCTACATGGCATCTATTATCATATTGAAATTTGTTCTACCCTATGTGTGGAGTTTTGGGGTGTTTCGATTGGTTTGGAGATGGCTTAGAATTTGGGATACTTGCACATTCTTTTGGAAACTATATCTATGGTGACAATCCATTTACTTCGAGCTCTTGAAGATCATCGAGGGAACTATAATCAACTTGTTTTCTCTATATATTTATAAACTTCTCTAAAATCTTTGGCAAGTTTGAATGGATGACAACTATAAAAAAAAGCTAATCATATGATTAATTAGCTTGCTTCTCGTGCTTATATACTTTTGATTGAAATTTCTTACTTTGAGTATTGCTCCTATAAAGTATATTAGTCTCCTTTTAAATGATATAAAGACAGAATCCTATTGAGAAAACTATGAAAGAGATAAACAACTGCTATAGTTTGATGGTTACATGGATTCTATCTACTTATAGGGATTTTTATCTACTCGTTACGGGGATTCCTATCTATTGTATTACTTAGAGTTCTATTTACATTATATTTGTAAACATATAAAGGACATGTTAAAGTCCTCGTAAAAAAATAATACAAAAAACATTTCCATATCTTAAACTAACGACTTAATTTGATATTAGAGCCTCGAGGGTTAACTGCCAATTTTTTCTCCCACACAACCCCTTCCCTTACCCAACTTTTGTTGCTTCCTCTTTCTCATCCGAAACCAATGGCCTCCTCTAGCAACACCACCTCTCCTACCACCACTATTGAAACTTACCCCACCACTCATCAATATACCATCCTAATGAGTCACCTAACCAATTCCTATCACTTCATTTCTTTTCATTTCTTTGAAATTAACCCAAATAAACTACTTGTTGTGGCAAGTCCAACTTAAATTGTTTCTTCTTGGCTAGGATCTATTCGGGTTCATTAAAGGCTCCTTCCCTTACCCTCCCGACCATATTCCCGCTCCTACTAATGGCCTTCCTTAGAATAATCCAACTTACAAAGCATGGATCCAGCAGGACTAACTCCTCATGAGCACGTTGGTTTCCTCTCTTAATAGATGTATTACCTATAGTGATTGACTGCAACATCTCTTGGGAGGTATGGTGCATAATTGAAAGTGGACTTTCTTCCCCCTACAGCACTCGAATAATGACCTTCCACCTTGCCTTGTAATGACTTAAACAAGAGCATCGTGAGTTTGTCTCCATATTCCTCCATCGTGGTAATTCCCTTAGTGATGAATTGACAACGATTTGGTTAGCCTCTTTCTTTGATCGACTTCAATCTCTACATCTTCGAGGGCCTCTCTAATAGCTTCAAGGATATTATCACCACCCTTTCCACACGTCCCGAACCGATAACATTTATCGACCTTCATAAAAGGTTAGTCACGAGTTTCTACTCCACGATTTAGATACATTATCATCACCACGGATAACACTACTACCCATACCTCCCTACCGCCTTATCGCCCATAGCTCTTATAGCCCATATGGAAACCAAAGGCTCGAGGTATCATCCATCTAGTGACCATTATGGTGGCTTCAACCATAGCCATGGCGAGATAAATTAGAGGCGAGAGGCATGGTCGCTCTAACTTCGTGTATGATAACTCCTTCCATTCCGATAACATAGGTTATTAGTACTATAATGACACCTACACCAAATGATTGCTCTGCTATTCCTAGAACCATATTGTTGTTTACTTCCTATAGTGCTAAACGGGACAATAGCGACCCCCGGCTAATCTCACGACTTCTCCTCACGACTATGCTCACATGCTTGGTGACCTAGCACTACCGCCTCTCACCACATAACTCCTAAATTGGCTAGTTTTAGCACATACAAACCATACATGGGTAATGATCAACTTTAGTTTGGCAACGGTGAGTTTTTACCCATTTTGCACATTGGTTCAAGTCATATTAAAACTCCTGCTAAAAATCTTAAATTATTTGATGTGTTATGTGTCCCACAAATAACCCAACCTTTGTTATCCGTTAAACGCCTTGCTAAAGATAATGACTTATTTTGAGAATTTCACCCTTCAATGTTTTATGTTAAGGACCGAGTACACAAGACCAAACCTTTTTCAAGTAAGAGTGATGTTGATCTCTATTCCCTACATACTCCATCTTTCAATTCCGATCCTACGACTCTTTCAACAAAAGTCTTTATAAATATTTAGCGCTTCGAATGAGCCATCCCTACCACCAAGTAGTAAATTTTCTTTTAATATAGCATTCTTTATCGAACCACTTTAAAATTATCTAATCGAGTGCTTGTCTTATCCATTAGAAAAAGCTAGTCACTTATCATTGCCTCTATCAAACACTTTAAGCACTAGTATTTTGAATTTGATTTTCAATAATGTTTGGCGACCTTCCTATATTATTTATGTTGATGAATTTAAATATTACATTATTTTCATTGATCACTTTTCTAAATATATGTGGTTTTATCCTTTATGTGAAAAATCAAATATTTATAATGTTTTTATTCAATTTTAAAAATTTCAAAACTTGGTTGAATGTTAGTTTAATCACAAAATTAAACAAGTCTAAACTAATTGGGGTAGAAAATTTTGAGGACTAAATAAATTTTTTTAAAATATTAAAATTGCTCATCGCATCATGTGTCCTTACACACATAAGCAAAACGATATCGTAGAGAGATGACATCATCATATTATGGAAACAAACCTCACTCTCTTAGCAAAGGCCTATATTCTCAAACAATATTAGACCTACGCATTTGAAACTCGTTATTTTCCTAATTAAGAAATGTCTTCTCCTATCATTAAATATAAGTCACTATTTGAACTTGTCTTTCATAAGAGCCTAGATTAATCCTTTCTAAAAGTTTTTGATTGTGTCGCTACGTGACGTCGGACGGGACCCACCAAAAGAAAAATTTAAGTAGTTTAGGTGTTGATTAATCAAAATTATTTATAGAGTTTTGGAGTCGCCACCTAGTATTTACGGTACTAGGAACCTAAAAGTAGCACTCGGTTCAAAGATTCCTAAGGTAAGGAGTTGGTTACGCTTTTAGGAAGATGTTAAATCACCTAAAAGCGCCTTTTTCAAAAAAAGGTACCATGTATGGTTTAGTTTTGAATTATCTCCTAAAATCTATGTCAAGCTATTTTTTAAATTTTAATCTCCTATCTTTTAGCCTAAATAATTTTTTTTAGTTTTGGGCGTAGCATCATATTGAAACAATCTTCGGTCCCCTTCGTTGGGTGACACGTCGATTCAAACATCGGATCCACTAAAAAGCCTTGACACAACCGGCGTGTCGAGGCCGTCTTGATTAAAAGGTGATTTTTTGTATGGTGTCGGTCCCTATCAAATAGGAGACTTCGCCAATTTTTTTTTTTTTTACGACGTCAATCCCTATCGGATAGGAGGCTTCGTCAAAATTTTATATATATAATTTTCTAGCAATACATATCAAAAAAGAAAACTGAAATAAAAGTTCTAAATTAATAAAGAAAACTACAAGAAGTAAGATAAATAGACTAAAAATAAAATGAAAATAAAAATACAAAATGATAAAATAAATCATCCTATGTAAGCGAGTAAAAAAAAAAACCGACGATAAAAGTAAAAAATTCTATACCTAAAATATTAACTCACCACTTTTACTCTTTTTTTTTTTTACACCCATCCCTATTTTTTTTCTTTTTTCTTCTTATTTTTTTCTTCCCTAACTCTATTTTTATTTTTTCATTCCCCCCCCCTTTTTTTTTTTTTCGAAGAAAGGGTGTGGACTGGATTTCCTTTTTTTTTTTTTTTTTTGGGTTAAGGACACGAGTCAGGTCGAATTCGGTCCAGTCCCACATTTTCTTTTCTTTTTTTTTTTTTGTAAAGAACGATGGGCCGGACTGGAAGGAGGTCCAGCTCGTTTCCTTTTTTTTTTCTCGGGTCGGGCTTAAGCCCAAAAACAAGTCCACCCGTTTTCATTTCTTATTTTTCGCATCAAAAAACCAAAATTTCAAGTTCATAACTCTTTCTCTCTCCTCGTTCTTCGTGTTCTTCATTTTCTCTCTCTAGTTCTTCAAATCTATTTCAAAATTTAAGGACCCTCTTTAAAAGAAAAGATTTGATTACATAAATCGCTATTTAGAACATGAACAAACCCAAGAATTGAAACTAAAAACACAACGGAATTAGAAACTAAAGATTCAAAACCCAAAGACCGACTCGGAAAATGGGAAGAATATCAAGAACAAAACCCAGCAGAAACTCGACGAAAACCTAGAAATGCAACGAACCGAACACCACTTCTTCACGAATTCCTTGGAATCTCACTCGTGATTTCCTTTCCTTCGCCTTAATAAACCAAAATTTTCCTCGAATGAAGGCTAGGGGTGTTTCAAATCGATTCCGGGTTGAAGAACACAAACCCGTAAAGAAAAAACCTTCAACTAAACAAACCCGTAAAACTTCGCTAATAAAAATCGAAAAAAAATCAACCTTTTGTTTTTTCCTTGCTTCAATTTCCTACCTCTCCAATCGAATTCCTCTCCCCCTTCTTCTCTCGAAATTCCTAACGTTTTATAGCACCAAATTTTTGAAAATTTCTCCGAGAATTGAATCTCAAATCTCAAAATTTTTTGTCAAATTTTCCTCTTTAAACCATGATTAATTATGAAATCAAAACGAGAAATCCTCATTGATTCTCGTTAGTGTTGGTTTTGGCAACAAAATCCATGATTAATACACAATCAAAAACACGAAATTCATGGAGGATTTGGGCGGATTCTCCCAAAGATTTTCGGAGAGAATCGCCTTAGAGCGAACGACGGGTCGTTTGCTCCATTTCGGTCCTATCGTTCGCTCCAAACTTCCGAGTTTGGTCCTCGAGTTTCAATTTCAGCAATTACACCCCTCTGCGAAATAATTTCGGTGTAATC